TAGAGTGCTGTTCCAAAACCTCTCTGCTCTAGTTGCCAGGAATGTTCTGGTAAACTTACAGCAAATTTATACACATGTATTCTAGTGCCAGCTTTATTCTCTAACTAAAAAGGTTTTTCTCTGTTGTGTTCTTTCTACTGTTTTTATAACAAGTTCTTCATTTCCTCTCAGGTTTTGATTTGCTAGGTTAATCAAACCACGTATGTTAGTCTCCTCTTGTAAATTCAGATTTTTATTGATCATTTCAATAGTCATTTTGCTGTGCTTATTCCAGTTTGAATGACCTCTGTTGAATAGAAGAGACTGCACAAGGTGCCAGAGGAGGCCCTAGTGGAGCTGTGTTGCAGCATTGCTGAAGTCTTGTTCTCTTTCTAGTGGAAACCTTTCCTGATGTCACTTAAGTTTTCTTCTTTCGAACTGCCACATTTTCACACTGTCATCCTGTGGTTGCCTGATAAAACCAGGTCCATCTCCCAAGCTGTTTGATTGACAGGCTTCCACCATGCTGCAGAACTTGTGTTACTGTTGTGTTATTTTTTCTGCTTTGTTTTACTGACTCTTGCCATATTTCTGTGATCCTAGTTCTCATGATCAGCCTGTTGCTTTCTATATTGTATCCTCTTAGCTTTTGCTTGTCTGATTGTATCATGATTCCTGTGATGTGTCATTAATTAAAACACAAAACATGATTAGTCCCAAGAGAGTATGCAAAATACAGAAGATATAACCCCTGTTCCTTAATGCAAGTAAGATAAGTATAAATGACAGTTATTCAGCCAAATGTTTTGGATGATACATTAAGATATTTCTGTCTATTCAGACTCAATAGTTGTTTTTCTGGGCTGTATCTGTGTAGGTGTCTAGGAGATACTGAGTAATAAATAACAAATTACTGCTGTTTTGCCAACAGCATCAAGGGCCTTCAGTCAGGGGTTGGGCCTTATTTGACTGAGCATTGTAAAAACAGTCCTTGAACAGGTGCTTGAGTGAAAGAAGCAAAGAGTGGCAGTTTTGTATGTGGGGCAATGTAAAATGAAGTGTAAAGGGGATGACTGGGGGAGGAAAGATACATAAAATCATTGACCAACAAGAGGGAGACTTTGTGACTCCAAGCTGGGTGAGGAAACAGTTGGTAAGATCTTGAAGATAACCTGTGGCAGAACTTGGAAGCACTTTTCTTCCCATTCTGATTAATTCCTAAGGGTTTTTGTTCTGTTGGGATGTGAAATTTGTGTAGAACCTTGGTTATAGTGACTGCAGTACCTCCTTGTCGCAGGCAGCACACAGTGATACTCTTTTAGAAAGCACCTTCCTAGAGCCCCTGGAGGCTCTTGGAATTTCAAGGTCTCTGTTATTCCCAGCTCTAATACCCGATGGTGGTCTGGGCACTGTAAAGGGCTGTTGACCTTTCCTTGAGCAGAGAGCATCTGAGCTCCACAAATCTTTGAGTACTGCTGATTATTCAAACTGACTGGTACAAATATCAGCGGATTGGAGACATGAAGCACTGCTTTCACTTCTTGTGATGATGGCACAAAAAAGTCTCTTCGTTTCTTCAGAGATTCCCTTCACTTTCTGCCTGTGCCATTTCTGATTAGACTTTTCTCTTGGAGTTTTCTCTAAGTTACAAAATCAACCTCTACAATGTAGAACTGGCTTAGAGAGTTTACAGCATAAAGACAGAGAGAAAGTTGAGGCCTTAACACACCAAGAAATCAGTGATTTGACAAAACCCAAAACAAAAGAAAAGAACCCCAAAATTCTCAACAAACCAAACATGGGGTAAAGTAATAAACAACATTTGTACTGAGCTGCAAAATGAAGAAGCCCACACACATTAGAGGCTTTTATAACTCTGTTAGAAGCAAATGTCATAAATGTGTTGTTCTTCCATGTGAAAGAGATTTAATAGTAGGAAAGATCCTGCTTTCTCTGTGCAGGATGCCAACAGTTGTCTTAAACACATCTGTCAAGTACTGCAGCATTCTAAAATGTAAAAAGAATAACTAGATTACCTTAGATTTTTGTAATACCTTAGGAAGTTATTGGTTTTAGCATATTGTGTAGAATGGATGTCTCTTACTATTTATGTTTCTTATTATTTACACAAATTATTGTGTAGCACTTTTTGATTCAAGTTCCAAAATCCCTATAATATTATTTTATGTTTTTTCAAAGATTATGTTGCTGTTTTTAAAGAGGATATAGGGAGATGGCATCCTGCTTAGATTTTAAACTAACATGCCAAGGCTGAAGGTGTGAGCCATATGTCACTTAGATATCCCTCTGTGTTTCTGCAGACCTGATGTGTTGCTCAAGCCCATCTCCAGCCATAAAGTAAGAGACCTAACATTAGTCTGCAGATAAATGTTGTCTGTACATCTGCTGCTGAATAGGTAAAGGCCAGAACTGGTAACTTTGAGATTTTGTTTCCAGTTGGAAAGCAGAGGAAAATACATAGTGAAGTACTAGGATAATTCGTATTGATTTTTGTGAAGTCTCCTCTAGGAGAGTTTGGCTTGAGGAGGGGGGGAGAGGGAGGGTTTGTTGTTGTTGTTTTCTGTGGTTTGTTTTTTCCTGAAGGGTTTGGTACCAAAAGCAAGCATATACTGACAGCTGGTAAACTGGAAGTCAGTTTTCTTGGATGGGTGGTGGTGCCAGGGTCACTAAAGGATATTGCTGCATGATAGACATGCCTCTCCTTCTCCCTGTGACCTGTGGTGTAATGCTTATTACAGCAAAGTCAGGCAAGGACTGAAACAATTTGAAATGTTCTGTGCCTCAGTATTTTAATGAAGTCATCCAGGAAGGGGATTTACAAGCTGGACACTTACAATATATGACATCTGACCATCATTCTGAGAGAGAGTTAATGAATCAGAGGGTATTTTGCGTTCTTTCTCTAGATCGCTTCTTTGAGCTTAGCCCACAGCTACAGTGACCAAATGTCACTGTCCTTTTGATGCTCTGCATGGAACAAGTCTAATTTTCTCTCTACTTTGGAAGCAAAGCTCATTGTCCCAGGGCTGCTGCCTGAGGCAGGAATCTTCATACCATCCCAGCCTGAGACACCAGTGAAAGACTGACTCTGGGGAGTTGTTCTCTTGAGAAAGCTGTGCCCTCAAAACATGAGGGTACGGGATGTGACCTGATTGCCCATGCAAGAGTGGTTCCTTCATTAATGCTAATTGCTAATTTCAACACTAATGCTTGTATTCTTAGAAAAGTGTAACAGCAGGCAAACAGCTAGTATTTACCCCAGTTCTACCACCTGCAGAAGCTCAGCTATACTTTTTCCTGTACAGAATAGGGCAGATGTGATGTAACGTGTCTCTTCCTATGAACAGGCTTATATCTGTAAAATTTGGTTGCTTTCTTTGGTCTTGAAAAGAACAGCTTGTATCCTTAGCAAGCAGGGAAACTAGTCTGGCATATTTAAAAAAAAAGTTATTACCAATATTCAAAGATCTCACATGTTTAATTAGTATATAATAACACATATCTGCACACAAAAAAGCAAGATTTTTGAAAATAGAGAATCTTGAAGAACATCTAAAATTTTATTAAGGTTAGGTGTATTGCAGCCACAGCAACTTTATATATTCCATCTCTTTGCTTCATTTTTTGTAGTTCACATCTGATACCTGACAGTCACTTCAGTGCAGGGATAAAAAACACTGACTCTGAGAGTTATATGATTTTTGGATTGGAAGTACTGTTCACTTGCTCTAGAAATGCTGACTCAATTTTGACAGGTCAAAAAAATTCCAAAACCAGAAAATCCCTCTAGCACCTTTATGTCAGAACATCTGCCAGGCAGATAGAAATGAGCCTGCATTACATTTATTTGTTTACTTACCAATACTGTACAGCACTCTTTATATTGTTCTTTGGAGCACAGTCTGCTCAGATGTTCTGTAGGATGGAGTTAGCAGTCTTAAATCACCCTGGTGGGCACAATTCCAGAAATGTATGGTGGATAATTCAGGGGTTGCATAGAATGTCAGTACTTTCTAATCATTGGTGCTTGGGTTAATAAGGATTTGAGGGACAGATGTACAGAGAGAGATAAAAGAAATTGTGGTCCAGGGAGTGGGGGCTTGGAGGGGAGAAGTCACAAGGACTCTGTAAGCACGTAATCAGGATGCCTCTCTGGAAAACAAAGATTTGTGTTCCATATGCATTTTGCAGTACAGAATCACAATGTAAAAATGCGTAATATCTTTAGGATTATTATAATCCCACAATAAAGCTCTCTTACTGGGTCATTCCACGACTTTTCTAGCACAGTAACATAGCTGAATGTAATGGATGGAGATTTCCACTGCCTCATTCAGCCCATATCCTAGTGGGTTTGGACGTGCTCTGGGATCATGTGCTGGTGAGTTGGATTCCATGTCACAGAGAAAGATGAAGAATCTGTGACAGGGAAGCTCCTGAGGCAGTTTTGTGCCTGCTGGTCCTTTGTACATTACTGGTGTGATGTTAGTCCGAGAACACTTCCCATTTCACAGGTACCATGTGCATTCCAAGTACTGTGGCTGTTGCTCACTAGGCTGAGCTGAGTCCTGTTACTGCCATCCCTGAGGGCCGATGGTGCTGTGTATGGTCTCAGGTGTTACCAGACATGAGCTGGTTGCTGAGATGCACAGGTAGGATATGAGGAGTTCAGGGCACACACCTTAGTAGGACTTCAGATAACAGGAGCTTGCTGCAAAAGCTCTGGTTCTGATTTTTTGCGGTTGGGTGGAGTTTTTGTTATTCAGTTTTGTTCTCTCTCTAAAGCCACCTGGCTCCTTGTTGGTGTGGAGTAGCTTACTCCAGTCCTGCATCAAGTAATTTCTTTTCTTTAATATAAAATAAATAAATAAATAATTTAGTCTCTAACACAATGAGTCACAGAGCTGCTTACTCTTTATTTCACTGCAGTGACAAATCATTTGAGCTTCATGAAAGCCCTTCTGGCCAGTCTCAACTCTTTTCCCTCTGTTTTCTTACAGGCTCTGATACTTCACCAGCTTGGGCGCTATAGCTTGGCAGAGAAGATTCTCAGAGATGCCGTCCAGGTCAACTCTACAGCCCACGAGGTCTGGAACAGCCTGGGAGAGGTGCTGCAGGCTCAAGGCAATGATGATGCTGCGACCGAATGCTTCCTGACGGCACTGGAGCTTGAAGCGAGCAGTCCTGTGGTTCCTTTTACCATCATTCCCCGAGTCCTTTGACAGGGCATCCTGATCAACAGATTTTTGGTCTGACTTCTGGGTGAGGAGACCCAGTGTATCAGACTGCCTGGTAACTGGTTAGTGTGAGAAACTTTAGAGCTACAGGTCTTTGGCAGGCAAGCGGCCAAAACAGCGAGGTGACACAACTCGTTAATGTTGGACTGAGAGGACGGAACGGTGAAGCCAGAGCCAAATCACTCATATCGCCTGCGTTTTTGCCCTGGTAGTTTTAAAACATCATTATATTGTTCATGGATGATGTGCCATATTTTGTTAGTGATACTTGAGTGTTACATAAAATTATAATGGAATCAACTACCAATTGTAGAGTAAGTTAAAATTCAGTGGCAGAGCAGACTATTTTTAACAAGGCTCTTAATAAAACTGTTCTCTTCCTGCCTCTCAACCTCTTTTGGCCCAAAGTCAAAATGTGAATTTTCTGTTTCCATCTCTATTTTAGTCCAGGCCAGAAAATCAGTTGAGTTCTTGGTTTTAGTTGTTAATAACTGTGACGTGTGGCTAACTGTTACCTAGAGCAAAGGCTGAGTACAAGAATATTTATATTTTACCAATGTATGCCTGTTACAAAAAAATATATTAGTTATTTAAGTTTAACTTTTTTATGTGAATTCAGAGTTTATTTATCAATGGAAATATGTAAAAAGAAGCCTCAAATGGAATATTTACCGACATTCCTTATACATGACCCACACTTGGCTAAATGGGAAGATTATGTTAATAATAAAATGATTTTTAAATGGAACCTTTCCCGTGTCCTGGTTAAGAATCAGGGGGAAAAGATGACTTGTGAACATATTATTATGATATGGCTGGCTGGTCTTGAAGATGAACAACACTGAAATTAAATGTATGAGGCTAGTCTAGAGAAAAGAAGCTGCTATACTCTTTGCCAATGGTATTGTTATCTTAGATTTCAGGTTTCCTTAAATCCTCACTACTCTGTTTTTATTCCTTCCACTCCAGCTCTCAATGAAGCCAGATTACCCTGCCTCTACATAATACATGGACATTTACATATACCTTGGTAGTGCTTGGGAAGAGCATGTTAAATATTTACACAATAATGTTTGGTTTTCCTTATCATCTTTGTAGTTCTTTCTCAACATCTCCTGTATTTTGTATGCCTTGAAGGGAAAGTTGGCTGGTTTAGTAGACAAATAACTTGCCAGAGATTCTCTGGGATGTGTGTGGAGAAGAATCAAGGTTGCACTGAATTTTCAGGGTGTGTGAGCTGGGGTTTTCTAGTGTCTGCTCATTTACAGCGTTGGACACACTCAGAGCATGGGAAGAGTTCCAGGTTCCCCATTATACTGGGTGCTCCTTGATATTTGCCTGATTTGTCACAAGAAGTGGTTTTTAAGTGCTTAGTACAAGATAGCAGATGATTCAGAGAATAACAGCAAATGTTTTTCTTTGTCACTGACCAGAGAGCTTACTCACCTCAAACGCATGGAGGATCCTCACTGCGACACAGACTCCGTGTGCTCCAGTGAGCATCTTCAAATGGCAGAAGACTTAAACCTGGGGGAGCTCTTCTGTTTCTCCCCCTGGCATTTCATGTGCCTGTTAGGCTGAGGCTGCTTTCAGATTGTATCTGCGTAGTGCTTGGACTATGTGTTCTCTGTAAAATGGATCAAACTCTGTAATAGGTAGTGTTTTCAAATCTATTTAAAAGCCAGTAGAAATTGTGTCATCTTGCTCACTGCGAAAAACATCAGTTTTGTTTCCCATTTTCGAGCCCCTGTTTGGCAGGTTTTCTTCCTACTGTCTTTGGCTTTCTTTTTCACTTTTCTATTTGCCAACTGTTCTCGCTTTTCTAGTCCCAGCTCGTAATTTGTGCTCTGGCCCTGCTGTCTTTTAGCACCCACTATATGATACCAGAAGGTAGTGCAAAACCTCTATTTGCGTAACTCAGTTCCTCTTGAGCCTTCATTCCCACTTCATTTAGTTACATTTTTGATAACTTTCACAGGTGTGCTCCTTCACATTATTCACTCACCTTTTATTATAATAACAAAGCTTTTCTAACAAGGCAACTTGCACCTAGATCTGAGGTGGGTGGTCTTTCTCAAGAGAGCCTCAGGCAAAAGTAGAGAATAGGAGAATTCTGTAATAGAATTTAGCTCTGGTTGCTCTCATTTAATTTCAAATCCTGGCCTCTTGATAAACTCCCGAAGTGGAAAGGTTAGCAGTCTAATTGTGTCATGTCTTTTATTAGTGGAGAAATTGTCACTGCTGTTGTGCATATCAGGTGAACCTGAATATCTGTTTCCTTTTTCTTGACTGGAATCAGTTTCACTGTAAATCCACAAGCCTCTGCCTCTGGGGAATAGCCTCAGCTACCTATTTTTAAAAATGGATTATCACTGTAAGACTGTACATGTAGGAATTTTCAGGCAGAAGTGGAAATCCTTGCAGCATATGAATTAAACAGCAATGCTTGTTTAAACATGGGTTTCAAGTTAAAAAAACAAGTTGCTAGGTTTTACAGCTGCATTTTTCCTTTTTTTTTTTTTTTTTTTTTTAAAATCAAGTAAGAAGGCCAAGAATATTTTTGTATCTCTTTTAGTTGCTATACAGAAAGATCTGTCTTTTGCAATCTGTTCTCAGACCACCATGGTTTCCCAGTCACAGGAGTGAAGGAAGCAATGCTGAGGTGCACAGCCACTCCCAGGAAGTGTTCCCTTGGTGCCCATGGGTCATCCACATGAGGGTTGTTTCTGGACTTTGTTGCTGACAAAATCTCTGTGTGGATACACGATTTATCTGTGCTTTTGCTTCCCCAGCCTGTGTCAGGAATAAGAGCTGTTCAGATGAACGATGAGATAAATCAGGGGCTGATCCTGCTGAAAACTACACCAACCCCTCGCTGCCTTGCCCCAGGGTTTTACCAAGCTTTGGGTAGGAGCCTTGTAAGGGCTTCAGGTAGTTCTTTGGTCTGATCTGCTGCACCAGTAGTAACACTAAAACACAGAAGAGGACTTCCACTCCACAGGGCAGCCCCTACTTTGCCCAGTTTAAAACAGGTATTAAGTTGCATTGTTAAGCACTCAAACTGTATCTCTATGGTGACAAGCTGTACAAGCCTGAGATCTCCAGCCTTTCAACAGAGATTAAAAGCACTCTTCTCTCATCCATAAGACTGGAATAGCAGGTTGCAGAGGAGAATTCCCTTACTCTGCAGTGTGCTTGTGCTACTCAAAATGATTAACATTTGGTGTACTAAGCATGTGCTTAAGTGTAGTAGCAATGTCTGTTGCACTTGGTAAAAGGTCTGATATAGGAAGGCCTGCAATAAGAAAACTGATCATTCAAGTAATTGGTAAAAGTTCCTCTCTAATTTTGGTGCAGATAGCCATTTTTAGTCTATGAATTATTTAATTTCTTCTTTTGCTTTCATGGTTGATAGAGAATCACAGGAATAAGAGAACCAATCCAAGCAGAACTAATCCAACTGTATCTTTCAAAACTTTTGTCATTAACTATATGCATTTTAAACATCAAAGGCTATTTTTAAAATTGCTTTAATTTTACTTGAAAATCTGTTTTTTCCTGAGTAGACTGTTCTATTCTGGAATGATAGCATAAGCCTGGGTATATCAAGAGTTCCAGATTTACCTTGCTAATTCTTTGTTTGTTCAGTTGTCAGTTATAATGATATTTTTCTTAACTGTCAATCTGGCAATCATTCCTTCTCTAGCATCAAGTAAAAAAAATATGCTTTCAGTAAGTACACTTCTCTAGTGTTTCATCTATTTAACCTCATCATTTCCAAACTACCTTTTCCAGTCCCACTGGAGGGCTGTGCTGGGATGTGTGGCACTTCCACATGGGTCTCTATTATTACAAAAACTAGCTGGTAAGTATCCTACTCATGGACAGTAGGAAAGACAGAGTATTCAGCTTTTGTCATGTGTTGCTGTCATAACTGATTGTGCAAAGTTTGATGGGAATCTTTCAGACTTGCAAAGCCAGCAAGGGGGCTAAAAGAAAGGGGACAGTGAAACTAAAACTAAAGAAAATGGGAAAGAAATGCATCCCCAAACTTTTTTTTTTTGAAAGAGGAGTGTGTGTGGGGTGGGTGTTGGTCAGACTTCGTTCTTTGCCATTGCAGGGATGCAAGGTCCTGATTGCCACTGCTTTGGTCACCTGGCCTTTCTAGTTCCCAGTTTAAAGCACCTTTGTAGCCCAGGTGTCTGGGCTCCCCAGTTTTTATTTCAAAGAGAGAAAACTGTACCTATTAATTTCTAAATCTTTTGAAAAGATGTGACCACTTCTGCCCAGCTTGTGTTCCATACCAGGTCATGGGGCGGACAAGCATTAGATGCCACCGCACTGTCATTACTGCCCAGACATTTCCAGAGTACAGCAGCTGACAGATGTGATCTTTTGGATGCAGTCCATAAAGCACGGCAGGAGCACACAGCAAAGGTTCTGAAGGGAGGAGAGAGAGTGCTTTTGCCTTTCTAAATCTGCCTGCACTTGGAAAACTTACTTGGAGGAACTCAGTGAAAAAACCTTTTTGGATACTAAAGGGTCAGTGAAGTGTGCCATTGCTGTATTTTCTTTGTGTCCTTACATGAGGCAGGCATCTCTGTGGGAGAGATTACTCTTGTCTGCTTCATCCAGGTATAAATCTCTACAGCTGGCTCCCCTTGCCCAAACTGGGAGCAGCATGAATAGCTCATCTCCCTTTCTGCCTCTAGAATTGCCTCCCCAAGGAATGACTCTCTTCAATATGAAATTACTGAAGGTGCCCTCTCTATCTGACTTGAAAAAATAATCAGTAGACAAATAAGGTAATGATAGTATTTGTTGGTTATTACCACAGTGACATGGCTATAAAAACATACAGGTTTAGTGCATTTCTGTTTGTTTCTACAGCTGAGCCCCTTCCTCTGTGACGACAGTAAAGCTGAGGGTCTCTCCGATGGGTACAACCAAAGAACAGCCAATCTGATCAGCATGTGTGCCTCTGGACTTGCTACCAAAGGGGAAAAATGACTTGCTTACCAATTCTTAAGTATAATTTTTTTCTACACACAGGCATGTGCTCACAGGTAAGTGGTGCATTTTATACTTAAGGCAGAAAGTTTTGAAAGGAAGTTCCGTGTGAGTTCACTCCAGCTCCTGTAAAGCTAACTCCTCTTACAGACAGGTTTTGCTTCTTTGATAGAAAGTTGGTCATGCCAGAAAAGGAAATTCTGGCCCCAATTTTCACTTCCAATGCACATCAGAGATATATCAAATGATGAGCCTGAGACATTGTTATTATTCAAGTGCAGGTGTTCCTAGGGTTGTTGTTTTCCAAACAGCACCAACTACTAATGTAGGACTGGAGGGGGCAACAGAGGCCATAAAACGTGACAAGTTGCTTTCCTTTTGACCGCCTTGCAAAAATAGTAAAACAGTCTTCTGACTGAAAAATTATCGGTTTTAGGTGTCCCTTCGGGAAGGGTTTTGCTTTTTCTTTCTTCTTAATCTTGCAAGCATTTAGGGTAACTAACTCCTGGGTGCTGATACAAACTTCAGGGCAGGTCCTGTGACCAATGCACGGAGCAACTGCCTTCACTGACACAGGATCTACACACTCTTAGGCTAAAATCATTTCCCACGCATGTGCTTCAGGAATAAGCGGGGATGATCCTGTTGCTCTGCCTCTGCGGTAGTTGCCCATGCTGGTGTTCAGCCTGTAGGAAGACAGGTGCTCCTTCCCACCGACACCACCTTGCCAGACAGGAG